CAATTATTCGACTGGATTGTTTCATCTGTTGTTCGTATTTATTCTTGTTCTCATAAACTCTTGGCACAAGTACAGCACCCTCTAGTTTATTCGACTCGGATTTATAACGAATGATCTAAATGGATATTCCATTCCTCAAGTTTATAATATTTTTTCATATATTTTGCAATAGGAAAATACAAAGTGCATAAGAACACATAAAACAAGCCTTTTTTGCAGCCTGTTCTGCAATACGACGATCAGGTGAATATTAGTTAAACGGAACGAAAGCAAATACTGAGGAATGATTGTAATAAAATTTGATTGCCCTCTCCCTCGGCTTGATCACATGATTTCCTCCGAACAGCAACATTTGTACACTTTATAAAAAAAATGCTCAACTTTTCAATATAATTTTGTTATCATTTTCAAATTATGGTCTGAATACCTAAGTAACATAAGCACCCTATTCAACCATTTCTTGTCTGGATTGTTTTTTTTTTTACTTTTGTTGGTTCTCTTTTTGCTTGTCTTAGGTGTAGAACTCTAATCTCTATTGAATAGTTCCCATTTGCATCGAAGTTTATTTCAGTGTAATTGGAAAGTTTTAGAGTGTAGACTTTGTAAGTTAGAGCGTGTTTAAGCATCCTCTAATGATCTCCATTTATAATATTTGTTTGTTCAAGGGTTGCTGGTATTTTTCTGTTTCTTTTTCGCCCTCTGAATGATACACAATGATCGCGTAAATATCTACGTAGGTGTTCTGTATCTCTCACCTGTGAAAATCAGTCAAATTTTCCCACGGTTTCTTACACTGCTTTTTATTGTGCAGGTTGAAAAAAGGGATGCATTCCGTCTTTTTATGTATTTATGTTTATCTACCTGTAAGTAGAAGCAGATTGCTCGGATCATTCGCCTTTCTTTTATTGTCTGCGTTTATATTTTCGCTGCCTCTTTCTGCCTTATTATTCTCTCTGACATTCTATCTCTTGTTGCGACAGTCTATCTGTTTTTTTTTGATAGTTGGTGGACTGTTGTTGTAAAGATTCATTTTACAGTTGTTTAAGGAAACCTATAGCTGGGTGTAGGTGTGGAATGTAGATGGTGGAGTGGATGTAAAGAAGACCCACAAACTCGCACCCTTTAATCAACTGTAGTATGCGATTTATATTTCGACTATACAGATTTACAATTCGATCTAAAACTTAATACTTAATATTGGTTAATATATATCAGTTATTTTATTTATCATTAACCATTATTCTGATAAGATATCAACTAATGATTAAGACTACTTTTCGATGAATGACATATTTATTATTTTGTAGTGAGCACCTTATTGAAATTTATTTAAATATATTAGTGTTTTATCATATTTTGAGGGCTGCGCAAGTAAGGATACAACTTGTATCACTCGGCTCACAGTTAACTATGTACCACCATGTGCGGTCTTGTACCATCTTGCATCGGGTCCATGTATCGATATAATGCCATCTATACTTCGAAAAAGCATAGAATTCAAGAGGGTCTGGGTGGGAGTGGGTGAGAAGTGTTGGTGTGGGATGTGGATGTTAAGATAAGACACCTCTCTTCATCCACGCCTACACCCATACTCAAATATTAACTGGAACATCTTCATAAAATGTGACATTTAAATATAGTCGCCTTTTCAATTCCTGCTGGTTTAAATGACTTTGCCATCAAAAGTTTTATTGAAAAATCTTACGATACTACTTTAATAAATCTAATTATTCGAATCAAGCCACATTTATAAACAGTGCCCAAACTGATTTTTATTTCTTTCAAAAAGAGTATCTAAATGGCTTCTCACTTTTATCTTGACTTTTTTTTTCGATTTTGGATTTATGTTGTGTTTTTGTACAAAAGTATCAACAATGCTTCGAATTTTTTTATTTTCGATTTAGTTTTTCCGATCTTCGCTCTTTCAATTTTAAAATGTATGTTGTGCTTTCTTATTTTTTGTAAATGCTTAAAAGTTATTATACAGAGCCCTGATTGGTGTTTTACTATTTTAATAAACAACAAGACACGCGTCGGTCAAATCAACTCGTTATTTCATTTATTATTTTAATTCAAATACACTTAGTTACTATTATATTATTATTTAGTTTTTGTCTCTGGCGATTGCTCAAAAGCAAGAGTTGAGACTAGCAGATTGAACTTGTCGTCATCGTCAAGAGTTAGGCCGGTCTGTATTTCAATTGATTCACCACCACAGCCGTATCTTCACGCCCACCCATACATTCTTTTAGTGTCATGCTCGTGTCAATGATCTTGCCATTGCGACGGCGCATTTTGAGCTCTCTTATCTCTTGCCAGTTTAACCCTTTGGCGGCGAAGGCAGTAAATTTATGGTTTCAAAATTTAGTTAGAAAAAACTGTCCTTAAATATACTGAAGCAGGGTTTTTCCGTATGCTTTGTGCTTAAATATATGTGTTGCCAGTAACGACTTTGTGTATTAACGCTTTATAAGCATACTGAGTTCTAAACATTAGTGCTAGACACTTTCGTTCTCTTGTAGCTCAAACAACAGACAAAAAAATCTTCAGAGAATTCATATTCGATGTGCTCATGCGAATAGAAGACAAAAAAGAGAATAGACTCATGTTATAGGTGTAAAGATTGTAATGTGGGCCTTTACGTGATTGGCTATTTTGAGGAATTGCAAACTTTATTGTATTTTCAGGTTTTTTCTTTCTGTAGGCTACATGGTAGTTATGTTAGAGGTTTTGTGGATTTGTTTTATTTTTTTTATTCGAAAATAAACCAGGTATACCTTCGAACCAAGATTCAGTTGAATAATTATGGTCTTAAATAATATTCACAGTATGATGAATTTTGACAAAGGAATTTCATTTTCTTTTCTAAAAAAAGTTCGCCATCAAAGGGTTAAAAATGAATGAACACGAATTCTGTTAATGTTCTGGAGAAAAATATGTTTACTCTTTCTTTGACTTTGTAGCTCGACGGCTTTTCTATGGTTTATCAAACTCTGCTATCAAAATAGACGACAATAGAACTTTTTCGGTTTCAACTGAGCTTTCCGAGTAATGTATCATATTTGAAACCTGTGCCGTTTTATTGAAATAATCTGATGCTCAGTTGAATTTATCATACAGATATTGACATGTTCTCTTCTAGTGTTGGTGTAATCAACGCAATTCATCGTTCTCTATTATAATATAAAGAACTTAGTGATGATTTAGAATCGATATTAGTAAATATACGTACGAAGTTGAGCGATTTCGTATGCTTTCATTTGTTCACGTGCATCGGAACTATGACCAACGTCTTCGAATGTATTCGAAGCATCTCTACCATTTTGTTCTTTCAGCACTTCTTCACCACCCGGATGCTATGAACAGAGACGAGATAACCTAGGCATATCAGATCACACAAAAAACCTCATCCGTAAATTTGGTCACATCATAAACTCGATTGTTGATAACTATAACGCATTTGTCTGGCTGTTTGGCCAGTTGTTGAACTTCAGCCATTGTCATCAGCTTGATATCGTTTGGAGCTGCTTCTAGTATAAACATTTTTTTTCTATTGATTTTAGAGTTATAATCGGTTTTGATGGAGTTATTCTGAAAAAATCATGTTCTTGTCTAAAAATCGGACTGATGCTATCGGAATAAAGAATGATCTTGATCTTTATTCTAAAACTTTTCATTGGGTTCACTGTGTGTGAAATGATCGATCACCACATGAGAACGGGCTCGTTCTCATTGTCATTCTGTTCTAGTATACTGTCCACTGCCTAAACAAGCTGTCGTATTGCTGAGAGTTTTTAACATTATTTATCTTTCATGAAAAGATAGACTCCTCTGTCAGAATCTCGTTAATGTTACCGAAGAACAGAAGTCAAGAAAGATTAGACTTCGTGTAATCGTTTCTACTGCTAAAAAGCTTAATTTTTTTGGATAAACAACTCGTTCCAAAGTGTTTGGATAAGAAAATTTTCGTATTTTCATCCGTTGAAAACGTTGACTAATTATATTGTAAAAGTTTTCAACATGCAGGATGTAGTACGATTGAAAGTGACACTTTTGTAATTTTACATATCGGCTACGCTAAATAATCGTTTGTGTTCGTTAAAATTTGCTCATTTGTCAAGAAGCCAAGCGAAGTAAACTACACTGAGTACTTTCTATACGTGTGTGAACTTAGCAAACAGCTGATTTTCTCGACTAAGTCAATTTGACCCGCATGAGATAACCTGCGAGTAGAATGAGAGCGTCATCCAAGGCACTTTCCAGTCCCTCATGGATGTTGCAGAATATTAATTCCTCATTCGTTCAACCGTATCGAACTTGAGACATCATAATTTTTACTACAACGAACTATTCAACATTATTTTGATTCTCATCATTTGAAATATTGGATGAATATGCACCTTCAATTCGACGAAGATATTGTAAAAACAAAAGTGATATGTGCGATTGATTTAAAATTTTCGATTAATGAGCGTTTTGCTTTGCGACACGAGATAGTACTGAGGTATATGTTTGCCTGATTTTGCTAATGTTGTGAGTTTATTTGATCATGCTGATTTGATGTTCTTCGGATTATGATGACCGGCGTCTCTATGTTGCTATTCTGATACAGTGTTTTTCTTTTGCTACACTAATACTCTTGTTGACAAAATATTGCAACATTTCTACAATCATTTAGTACTATGTGATGCAGCAAGGTACAATATGGATCGTATCGTTTTCAAAGTGCTAGTGCCACATCTATACAAGTCAGAATATCAAAAGATTTGCCATTACCAGAAGTGAGAGGCACGCTTCTGATCTTGACTAATATTAATCATTTGCTTTTTCATATTCTCAAGCCACAGTAATCAATGTCAGACTCTGAAATCTTCTTAATGTACATCAAGTGGACATAATCAAAATTTATCCCATGTAATGTTTTCACCACGATATTTCGATGTCAAGATTTGTCATTTTACAATGAGTCACTACAATTCATCACTAATTGAGCACGAATTTTACTTACTTGATGCTGAAGCTGCTGGTAATGAACTGGACAGTGTTGTCATATTTCTAACCATGCGATCATGTTCATTGATGGATCGATCGATCACTTTGATCATATGAATCGATGAACGCGTTGTATCGTCCTCTACAATATCGATTGTCGATGGTTTCTCCAGCATCTGGCGTAATTGCAGTAGTTGTCTCATCCATTCATCAAGTTGTTTTTCTGCGTAATTATTTGATAACTGGCTTGATTTCAGCTTCTCAGTCAGCTTCTCTAGGGACTCCTTTAGATAGTGTTTCGTGCGATGAAAGTGTTTTTGTAGATCTGCTCGAACCTGTTCAGCCGTATCTTCAATCAGTTTGATCGATTGTTGCTTCCAATTTTCAATACGAGAGAAGAGCTCAGACATCATATTTTCTCGTTCGAGATCTTGCTGCAATAGATCATGTTCTTCTCCAACTTCATCCATTCGTGCAGCTAGCTCTTGACGATGCTTCTGAAAATGATTTATACAGTACTGTTTACGGCATCCACTGCATGTGGCTACTCCATTTTGACATTCTTTACATTGTGCCTGTAATGTAGATGAAGCCATGTTTCAATCTAGAAGCGAATTAAAAGGTTCGTCTCCTGAGCAATCGTCTATAAATGCTTCAAGCAGATGCGAAAGTATGAGAACAACTTGTCGCACATGGAGAGAAGAAAAGAATAAAGATTCATATTTGCTCAAGACATTTGTCTGCGCAAGAATGTAATGACGCTGTTAGCTCGCGAAGCATTTCTTTTGATTAGAGATGAAAGGAAAAAAATATGTTTGAGTTTCAAGAGAAAAAAATGAGACTCAAATAATAAAACAAGCACACACTGCCATCTATTGTAACCGGATCATCTTGCAATGGTGAATGCGCAATCAACATAACCACACTTTCTTCATAGATGGATTCCACTCTTGGAGACAATGCACTGAACGAAATCAACCACAATGTCTTCTATAAGTGCTGAATTTAAGCTATATAAATTGAAGACTGTCATGAAAAAATTATTGAGTCTTATTCAATTGAAAAATGTGAAGATATTTTTATGATGATTGTTTTTCAGTAAAGACAAAAGTTGAAGAAGATTTTGGTATGTTTTTGTCATGCCAAGTAACCGTGGGAAAAATTTAATTTATTTAAACCCGACGATCAATCACCTAATGTTGTCTGTTAACAACTATTTTACACAAATCGTTCTTTTGTACTTGATCGGTATGTAAGATGTGAGTCTGAGAGTAGTTGAATCTGGTTGATTTGAGATTTGCTTGAATCGCATAACTTGTCATTCTTTTGCGTTTTACATCGATTAGCCAACACACACAGAGATACATATGAGTCATCATCTTATGATAAATATAAAGATCTTCAAATGAAATATGTGAATAATTTGAGAGTGTGGGTATGGATGCGGATGTGCGTGGGTGCAGGTGCAACTATGGGTATGGATGTAGAGTAAGTAATAACCGACGCCCTAATTCCACATTCACACCCTAATTAACGTACCTTTCTCCTTGCATGTTGTATTCGCTGAATAAAAATATGGATATTTTTTCGATTTTGTTTCAAGATTTTGCCACATATTCCAACTTTTAAACTTCCTTCTATATCAAGCCACCGGTGATCATTTTTCTATTCACTGCAATGCTATAGAAACTAAATGAGGCAAGACACGATGCATAAAGTAGCGATTGATTGAACAAATTCGACTTTATGGAGTTTATGAGGTGATACATGTAGATACATGATACAATGAGTCAGTTATTCGTACTTCGGGTACAAGTTTTGCTCTTGAACTCATCGTTCGAATGCCACCATAGACATCACCTTGCTTAGTTGAAAATAAGATAAACCATCGGCATATTTTCACGCTCACGTTCGACTGATTGTATATGAGCATAACAAAGACACAAATAATCAACGCTGAACCCTGAAAAAGTCACAAATACAATGTTCCATATTTTTTTTGTTTTAGGTAGTCTATTTGTTTGTTGCGCTGATCAGATTATACTGCTTTGATTGCTTGGTATGGCTGGTCTCTTCATTGACAATTAATCGAAAGTAAGCAAATAAAAAACTAGGTGTTCTGCAATTATCTCCTTTAAGGAACTAGTTGCTGTATTCTACACAAACCAGCTCGATAACATTCTCGAGAACTTCACGCGTGCGAATAAAAGTTTTTTTTCCAGAAGGTAACTAAACTTATTCTTTGATGTACCGAATCTTGAATATAATACAATGATAAAAGAGAGGCACAAAGAGTGAACACTGATGTTAGACCTGTTTCTTCTGATGTATTTGATCACCATGCACTTCACCAACAAAACACTGAATCCTTCTTCCTTTTTCCTCTATTTATCTCTCCTTTGGCAACTATATATCAAGGCATCAACAGGAAGGGTTTTTTCGCATGTAGAGAACTCCCAAGAATAATGATGATCAAAAGAAAAAAAACCATACAAGATCAACAACCAGAAGGAAATATACCCCCAAGAGAACGTACGGAAAGAAATGAAAGTAACACAAGATGTATTAATTCACGCGCAACAGGAGATAAGAAAAACACTACACAAAGAAACTATGTGACGTAACCGATGCGTGACATAACAATTTGAATGACTAAAGCTGACGTTAATCATTTCTAGAAAGTTCTCAACTAAAACAGAGGCGTATTTCATTTTCATTCCTTCACTCTACGTATATTACATCATGCATTTCTTAGTAGAAAATAATTTATAAGCCCCCAAATGAATAGTTTCTCACAACGGTGAGCAATATTGATGATGAACAGATGGTGTGGCAACTAGCACTTATGTTTAAGAAGCTTTTTTCATCGTTGTTGACACCGACAGATTCAACGACGGAGAACTCCATTTGATTCTGCACGAGTTTATACAAGAAAAAAAAGTGTTGTTGAAGTGCAATATACTTCAACAAGATCAGTAAGACAACAGCCAAATTTCACATTCATGATAATCGCTCTAACTTGTTGTTAGGAGAGTTGTTGTAAGCGTTGCAACACATAGCACAACTACACTATTCACATAAGTTTCTGTTGTCATTGTCGAAGTAAAAAATAATATAATTGACTATGCAACCGTCAGAATTGAACATAGTTTGTGCGTCAGAATCTCATTTTCTAACTTAAAAAGTATTACTCTGAGAAAGAAAATGCTAAACAAAATTCTTATTACTTGCCTTATAGCAGATGGATTCCATCCACTGTCACAGTTTTCTATATTATTCGCTAAGTGAATTGAATACCTAGCAATTATGTCAACGTTACAAGCTCGTATTAAGCATTTGTTTGTTTATGTGAATATTTTTGACAGTGGATCTAGCGACGAAGAATCCATTCAAATCGAGCGATGGTCATCATGGATTTACGTCGTTCTATTCATCACAAGCATATTCACTCTACTTATTTACACTAGTTTTGGAGATCAGACGACGATGAATACTATAAAAATTCCTTCTTATTCCATGTTCGAGTCCCTATTGTTGCAGTATCCGAACACACTTCAATGCCCGTGTTCAACCATCTCTATCCCAATGTCAAAATTCATTCGAGCAGAACCGATCTATCATCAGGTATCCATTATTTTTTAATCATTACAACATCTGCAGAACTAATTACAGTCTAAGCTTGAGTTAAACACAAAGTACGGAGTGTACGGTGAGCTTTGCTCGGTTATGCATGAGAGACTGAAACCGAATGGAAATAAGACTCTGAAGAAGCATCTACGATTGAATCATGCCGAATATGAATCTTTTAATTCGACTCACAAGAGCTTTCGCTATTCAAATGTAAATTTAAGGCATGATATCGTATGCTATATGAGCAGTTAGATTTACAGTACTGATATTTTTGCACATCCACACCCTGCTCTGGTATTCCATTGATATAGTTTTCTGACCACGTGATCCTTATTGGATTCTCTTTGAACAAGTTACTACACTGCATTTGAATATGTAACAAAGCACCACAAACCGAAAAACATGAATGTCTGTCTGAACGTTTTTTTAAAGTGTGTAAATACATCGAAAACTTTCTATTTGGACTTCACACCTTACAAATCTCTTTCTTCTTCGTCTTCTTCTATAGATGCAGTGCTTATACATGGAAGAAATCTTGAGTCTGTCGCAAAACTTGGGAGACAGAAAAGGTAGAAAAATGATTTGACGTTGTGTGAAATCCTCTTTCTTTATTATTTCAAAATATTTACTCAAATAAACTTGAAGTGTGGTATTTCGTTGTTGAAAACACCTACTTCCGAGGAATTGTACATAAGTTGTTAACATGGCATTCACAGCTACATATTTTATAACAAAGATTAAAAAGAACGGCTTTAGAGGTAGAATTTACTTCCCATTTTTCTTTTTCTTCAGTCATACTTCTAATAGTGATACGGAAAAGGATTTAACCTATCCGGATATTACTATTGCCATCTTGGGTCTCTATATCACTAAAACAAAAAATTAATCAAGAAAAAGAAAGAGAAAAATGTGCAGTCGATTCTTCATCTAATGTCGTTCTTTCTGGTCGATGTTATAAAATACGAAGTTGTGAATGGCATCTTAACATCTAATGCACAATTCGTCGGAAGTAGTTGTTTTTCACAACGAAAAACCACACTGCAAGTTTATTTGAGCAAATATTTTGGAACGATAAAGGAAGAGAATTTCATAAAATATTGAACCATTTAACAACCTTCCTATCAAGTCAATAAAATGAGAACGCATGCGAAAGTGAAAGACAATTTAAGTTTTTCAATCATATTAGACATGCTCCGTCTTTCTTATTCTCAAATATTTAACTATTGATGAACATTTTGCAGCGCTTGCGTTTTGTGTAATGCTAATTGTGTAGTGTGTTGTTTTATTCTCGATTCGATACATTTAATAGTCCACATGATGATTGTAAAACAAATGAAAAATGCCAGAATCAAAAAGCATCGAGAACAGGTTTACGAGTCCTTCAAGGAATTAGGGCATTCCTTCAATTTCATTTCCTTCGATCTAACTTACGCATTAAAATTAGCAAGAACCGAATTTTCAGTTTCGACAAGTTTTATGAAAAAAAAACACTGTCGAAATGTGATGTCAAATAGTCCCAATCGTTCAACCCAACGAAAAATGAATCAAATCTTTAAAAAACGATATATCAGGAGATAGATCGTCAAAAACTAAACAAAGTCCGTTATTCGAAAATTTCTTCATCATGGTTTTACCTGCCATTCAGTTATGTTGAGAAATGCCATGTTGGTTATTACATGTGTTATGCAACACTTGTCTACACAATGATAAACAATATTTCGAAAAAAATGGTTTTGCCATGTAATAGATAAATGCTAATTTACTCGTATATAAGCTTGTATGCCGATCATACATATGTAGTTGAAATTAAAAACTACTTTTAACCTGTCGAAACATGGTTGATCTTTTGATTGGCCATTTTTTAGGTCTCTGAGAAAAATATGACGCTCAAGTCCACCGGAAATCGGTTCGAGTCATTGTCAAGCAGATTAAGTGAATATGGAATTTCGACCTCTATTCGATGGTG